CCGGCGCGCACCAGCATCCATTTAATCTCTCTCAGTGAGAAGCGTTTCTTTGATCAGCGCGCGACCGCATCTGCCTGGTAATATCTCAAGCTGGTCCTGCAACCGGCGTCCCGGGCGCGAGCTCCCCGTCTTGCCCGCACCGAGGCATTTGTTGCTGTCAACCGGCACCTCGGATAGTCTCTGTACCCGTTGACTGCGCGCTCTTCCCTTCCCCTTGCTCCTTCTTCCGCTGCCTCGTCCTCTTCTTTTTCTGCCGCGTTTCCACTCATCTTCGTCCTCGTCATAGTCTTCTTCTTCTTCCTTCACCGGACCCTTGGTCGCTGCCACGAGGCTTCGAAGGTTCGCGTGAGCCCAAGTCGCGTGCATATCGTCGTTCCACCACTTTCGACCAATGGAAATCCTGTATTTTTCGTCTTTGCATGCGTGCCAGGCTCTTTGTCTTTTTTTTAAAAAAAAAAGACCGCGTCTTATAAACTTGCCGATGGTTGTCGTTGATTTTAGAAGACTTGATGTTACTACGAAGAACGTACGGATCGAAGAATCTGAAAGCTCGTGCGGCTATTTCTCACTGTACCTTTTTATAAAACACAACGAAATTCGACTTCGTACGATAAAAACGCCCCACAGAAACGTATTAACTTGGAAGGAGAATCGCGAGGGCAGTAGACATTAATCAGGCGAAATATTTTGGCTTCTGGTATTTCGAGAGGGTTTCCATAATTAATACTAGCCGATTCTACCTGTCTTCCGCAATTTTTATCTTATTTCTCATGTTTCGAGAAGCGTAACGACGCATCCTTAATTCGTTCGAGCTTCGTTTCTTAGATGTTGCCGTGTACGTTTCACTTTCCTTATTCCGTCCACTTTATCTTCCGCGGTAGAACGGTTCTTAAGAAGATAACAATCTTCCAGAAAATAGTAACAAATTGAACAATTCGTCGCGTATTTCCGTTCACTACCATCGAAACTTTCATTTTATAGATATCATCAAACTTTGCCGTTCAAGAAACGCATTTCCCTCGCTTTCTGAACTATGAGATATGAGCCTCTTTAGAGAAACACGAATTATCTTAATTATATTTAACGTATGCGCATACGCATCGCAACACGGTAGAATTGTTTGAATCGTATAACTTTCAACATATTGAAGAACTTGAATATTACATTTGATAATTCAACTTCTTATAGAACACCACTAGCCTTTCATATGATACCTAAAATAAAATAAAATAATGTACATGCGCTATTAAATTATGGCAATTAGAAGCGAATATATTAATATTAATTGAACAAATTTTCATTTCCACCAGTATAAAGTATATCGTCGTAGAGAATCTCGTCTTCTATGGTCGTCGACCTGTCAATGTAATTGCACGATATATTTCACTGTTTATCACGCCACTGTTAACGACTAGTTTCCAAATATAAATCTTCCAAAAACTCCTCACAACTGAACCTGGTGTAATTAAATTGCTAGAGTCTTTCTTTTACAGCGACGCATCTTTATACAAACACGAAACCTAATCTGTAAAACGTTGTGATCTTTATTTTGATAAAACAAAATAATATAAAATGAAAAATGCTGTGCATCCATATTTACTTACAAAACAAAAGAAACTTTTCGGACGATCTAATACTTAGGTTAACTGAAATATTCATCTGACTCGAAAACCTAACCTCATCGAATTGACAACTTCGTATTCTGACAGTTGTCGACTTTCATCCAGATAAAAGGAGCTCGAGCTGCGATCAACAATCGTCTCTTTCTCCAAGCTTCCTTACGATCGCGAATTATTGCCAACGTTTGTCCACCTGATCCACAGGATATTCGTCCAGGAACGTTTCACGATCGTAATCCGCTGGACGAGCACTCACGCTCGCTTTAAAAAATACTTGAGCGGCCGGTATTTGTCATTTAATTAACAGCTAGTGTATTTGCACGATCGTTAACAGCGACCTGGGGTCTGTCGTGAAAGAAGTCTGCTCACTCGCGAAGAAAACAGGAAACGAAATGGAGTGCTCCTGTGTTGGGACAACTGGCTGCAAGGATATATTATAGGTCGCCAGCGGGGCACACACGCTCGCGCGTAAAGATGCACGCATGTGCACACACATAGGACACTGTATAAGCGTGTGTGTAAAAGTGGCTATGTGTATGGTAGTAATATGTAACGCACTTTGGAGTAATGCTACGTCAAAGCCAGCGCCACCGAAAATATGAGCCGGCTGCCGAGCGCCCCGCTAATGCTCGCCCATTTATTATGCTTACATTATTTCGAGATTATTAGTCTTCTCCTCCTCTTCTAAAAACCTTACGTAATGTTTTGACTCGCGACCCGCCGCCGCTACCGCGCTAATGTCGCTGCAAATAAGCGGCGCGGGCC